GAGCCGGTGGGCGGCCGCAGCCGTGCCTCTCCCTCTGTTTCAAGGCGATCGTGGCTCGTGCAAACAGCCTGAAGAACTCGGGAGTCCCCGATGATATCTTTCAGCTGGACGACCTCTCGGTGCTGGTAGGTGCATGGAACCGTTGGGTCATTAAGGCTGGAAAAGACCTCGGAGGTCAGCAAGTCCAACCCTCAACCCAACCCCACCGTGTTCTGAAGTGCCACATCTCCACGGTTTTTGAACCCCTCCAAGGATGGGGACTCAACCACTGCCCAGGGCAGCCTGGTCCAATGCTTCACAACTTTTTCAGTGAAGAATTTTCCCTAATATCCCATCTAAACCTCCCCTGACACAACATGAGGCCGTATGTGCGGAGTCTTCTCAGCTAATGCAAGAGCCAGCTCAGACGCGGGGGTCCCGCTCCTGCACCTCGGTGGCCCCTCAGGGAGCGTGGTGGGGCAGAGGAGCATCCAGAGAGCACATCAAGGCTCAGTCATGCTCTGTCTCTTGGACCTTTGGCCATAACTAGCTTCCCCACAGCAAGAGCTGTGCCCTTTTGGTGCCGGTCCTGCGCCCGTGGCTGAGCTCCGAGGAAGCTCCCCGCGTGCTTGTCCAGCTCCTGCTGCCAGGAACCGACCCTCAGGGCAAGGCCCAGTGTGGCTGTAGGCAGCCCGTGCCCCTGAAGATGCCCCTCGGTCCTCGGGATTGGGTGGTGGGTGCTGGGCGGAGGGTGATGCCTGCTTTGCCCTCCTCATGGCCCAGGACCTGAGCTACAACCAGCTGACGGAGTGTCCCCGGGAACTGGAGAACGCCAAGAACATGCTGGTCCTCAACCTCGGCCACAACAGGTGGGTCCAGGCCGGGGCAGCCATCTCCCTCTCGCCACGGCCACTTCCATCTGTCACCCCGCTTCACTCCGGGTCCTACTCTCTGCCTGTCTGTGAGGGAGACCCGGGGCTGGTGCAGGTCGCGGGCAGCCCTGAAGGTCCCCGTGTCCCCGCAGCATCGAGACCATCCCCAACCAGCTCTTCATCAACCTGACGGACCTGCTCTACCTCGACCTGAGCAACAACAAGCTGGAGAGCCTCCCGCCGCAGATGAGACGCCTGGTCCACCTCCAGACCCTGATCCTCAACAACAACCCCCTCCTGCACGCGCAGCTCCGGTGAGTCCCCGTTTTCCAGGCTGGATCCCACGATGCCAGGGTTGGGCCGGGTGCCCGCTCCAGCCCTGACGCTGTCTCTGCCCCGTGGTTCTCCGTGGTCTGCAGGCAGCTCCCGGCGATGACAGCCCTGCAGACCCTCCACCTCCGGAACACCCAGCGCACGCAGAGCAACCTGCCCACTAGCCTGGAGGGCCTGGTCAACCTGGCAGGTAGGTGTGTGGAGCTCTCTCGGTCCCGGCGTGCGTCCGGCCGGTGGCTTCACCCCATCATCTTCCCCCCAGACGTGGACCTGTCCTGCAACGACCTCAGTCGCGTCCCCGAGTGCCTCTACACCCTGGGCAGCCTGCGGCGCCTCAACCTCAGCAGCAACCAGATCACAGAGTTGTCCCTCTGCATCGACCAGTGGACCCAGCTGGAGACCCTCAACCTGTCCCGCAACCAGCTCACCTCCTTGCCTGTACGTCCCTGCCCGTACGCGGTGTCCCTGCCCGTGCCTCCATGCCACGGGGTTCTCCCTCACCTCGCCATCTCCTCCTTCCCTAGTCAGCCATCTGCAAGCTGACCAAGCTGAAGAAGTTGTACCTGAACTCCAACAAGCTCGACTTTGATGGGATCCCCTCGGGCATCGGCAAGCTCGCCAACCTTGAGGAGTTCATGGCAGCCAACAACAACCTGGAGCTCATCCCCGAGAGCCTGTGCAGGTAGGGGACAGCCCGCAGCCGGGTCCGCTCTGTCTCCGAAGGGCGGCTGTGTGGTGACACGGGGTCTCTGAGTGTCCCTGAAGGACGTGCCCCTGAGTCTGGCCCCTCACCGGCGTCTCTGTGTCCCACAGGTGCTCCAAGCTGAGGAAGCTGGTGCTGAACAAGAACCGCCTGGTGACGCTGCCGGAGGCCGTCCACTTCCTGACAGACGTGGAGGTGAGAACCCGACAGCCCCTCCGCCCCAGCACGC